TGCAGGGGATCTAGCTGACAACCAAACTGCTTGAAACTCACAAGTCTTCTTGCAAGTTTTTGGGGGCTTTTGGTTCATGCAGTGCTTTAACAAATATATTACACATTTCAGATTCATTACATTGTCATGATTTAACTATGGTTAGCTTAATCTATTAAAATAATGAATAAACAGTGTCTAATAATATCTTTTCTTGATCTTATTATAGTCTATGAAAATAAAAACACCCGTAGTAAGCTCAGAATATATATTCATAAGTCACAATTCCTGGACTATTTCTAAATATATTTTGGGGCTCAAATATAAAAATATGCATCAGCTTGAAAACTGACTAAATTTAGAAAGCGCTTGCAGTGTTGAAATACATCTCTTCAGTATCTCTGGAAAGAATACAGCTGTTGAGCTAAGGGATAGTCTACAAATGCCTCTCAGAAATTCCAGTTATTTAATGTCTGTGACATTTTTTCTCCCAAAGAAAAATAAATAAAAGTGGTCTGCACACTCAAACTGGTTAGACAAGAAAAGAGGTAGACTTTTAAATCTGAAATTTCTGACTGATCTGAAAAATAATTTTTATACGCAGTGATTAAACATAATTTTGTAGCTGATTAAACAATTGAAAGCCAAGGGGATATTCAGATTAAAGGAACTTCACACAACTGTGGGCAAACTCTGTTGGCTTGAATTGTCTTAGCTTCACTGAAGTCAGTGACTGCTTCAGCTGAAAATCTGTACTCCAGTACATAAAGGGTAAGGAGACATTTCTAATCCACATCACAAGAGAAATCTGCAAAGGCTGTGATGCCTCCAGGTATGCCAATGAAGTATTAGAAAGTATTAGAGTGAGGCCATACCACGTCTGCCTCTGGTGTCCCAGACAAGCATCAAGGAGATAGATAGGATGGTACACGCATTACAGGTTTGCAGAACTGGGGCACACTTGGCAAAAAGCATGTCTGGACTGTTGTATTTGGGGGCCAGCCAATAGCCTAAAAACTTAAGAATAGAATCTTCATCTGACTGTGTTTGTGAAATGCTGCTAAAGCTGGAGACTGGAGCTTTGCAGTCCTAAATGTCACTGCTGGAACCGTTGCCAGGCCACCAAACCAGGCAAAACCCCTTACTGTGTAAAGGTGAGCCTAAGGACTAAAAAGAGTCCCCTGCTTTCAGAAGTCTTCTCATGAAACGTTGCAGGCACTGTGATCTGAGCTGGCATTGCTGCCAGGGTTCTACTGCCATGGGAAGTCATGATGTCTGTAGAGTGATTGCCAAACATGGGAACAGCTCAGCCTTGCTTTCAAAGGTTTACCAACCTGCAGTATCAGCCATGAGATGGAGTGCAATGGTATGATTGCTCTCTCCAGCTCTATAATCCTTCTGAGCCATGATCCAAACAAGCTATGAGCTAATTATTACAGCTACAATTAGTCCAGCCTTTCCTCTGCACTGGAAATAAGACCCACCAGGAAAGAAGCATTAGTTGTGGCAGAGTTAATCCTTGCTTATTCTAACTTTTAGTTCAGATCAGAGAAAAGCCTGGAGTTCCCAGGTGAGCTTCTAGGTGAGACCAAATGTGATTCAGAAATCTGGGAGAGGATTTTCATTGCTCTTAAGGCAGAACTAGAACAGTTCTTTGAACTTCGCTGCCTTCTCATTTAGTAAGAAGGGAAAGGCAGCAAAAGTAGTTTGTTGTGTTTAGAAATGTCATTGTTTTAGTTGTTTCTGACAGATTTAAAACTCCTCAGAAGGCTCCCTTTCATTGCATCCATACCTGCATAAATGAACCTTACCCCTGTCTGTGCTTCAAAAGCAGGCCGCTTCAAAGATTCATCTTCGCTCCACATCTAGAGGATGTAACTCTTAACAGAGAAACGTGTGCGTGCTCTCTACTGTAATTATTTTTATTTGCCACAGGGAGCCTTCAATTCTTTCTTTTCTGAATGGTCCTTCAGCCTTTTAGTTTTGTTGATGCTTCCCACCAAAATAATTAGTGATGACAGTGTGTGCCCTAGTTATTCTGATAATTTGTGTTCTCTGGCAAGCTGTTTATAAGGAGGACAAGATTGCAATCTGATTTGTGATGACCTTATGAATTTTTTTTATTTTAAATTAGAAAACAGAGACTGAAAAACATAGTAAGCTGTATAGTCAGTCCATCTGCTCACACATAAATTGTTTTACAAGATACACTTCTCATTATTTTTATCAAATTTAGATCTTAATATCTAAGAGTTTATTCTACAAATTAACAGAATTCTCAGTCCCAAATTTTGCCTCAGCTTTAGCTACATTTTTTTCTGGCTGTGTCAGCCAGCAATGCATATCATTACATCAATGATCACCAGGAGGCTGGATGGCTACTATTTGGCCTTCTATTCGGAAGTGGTGCTGATGAGTTGTGTCATGGCTAAAATGCAGTGCAATAGTCCTTCTTTTAGTTTGAGTTCCCCCCTGTTAAGCATTTGGTTCTTTGTCTACTTGTGGGTGATCCTGTGATCTACACTGCTTTGCTGTTCTGTAACTTTTAGTGGCTTCAGTCAGTTATAACGTTGATTAGTACTGAGGAGCACCAAGATGGAGAGATTTTGAACAAGGGCTATTCTTTATTTGGCCTGATGCAGGGCTACTTGATAGCTTGTTGGCTTCCAGTCTAACTGTTATTTATAATGTACTGTCCTATAAGCATTTAACTCAACCCCAGCTGAGCAGGCAAAGCATTGTGAAAGCAAATGATGAAACCTCATCTTTATTAACTGTAAATCATAATTTTAGTTATTTATCTTCCCTTAGATGCTATTACTGGCTATGATAGCTAGAATGAATTTTGTGACAATGAGGAACTGGACTGTTTCTCTCTCTGACAGATCCATTTCATGTGGTGTAGTACACACATGACTTACCCACGTCTGTAGTTTTTGTCATCTAAGCTGTCTTAATAGCTGCACAGCTAGCAGTGAAGTGCACCATTGCAAAGGTCCAGACATTTGATATCCAAAAAAAAGGACAATGCAACAGCACTGAGAACCTTCCTGTCACATGGCTCTGTGGCAACTCCCTGACTCCTGTTGCAGTGGGCTGACTGGCATCTCTGCAACTCTAACACTGAAAAGGGTGAAGAGGAACTTCATATGGTGTCTGACCCATAGATCACTCCAGACTTAATATTGTAGGACTGGAAGGTTGAACTGTGATCTATGCCTAATGATTATATGCTTAATGTTATGTTTAGTAGACAGTGTCCAAAATGCTGAGCAGGAAATGGCTCCAACAAGATTGTTTAGGGAGACTGAATAAATCATGCAAAAGGCTGGACCCAGAGGAAAATGTAGAATTGTACTGTTAGGGCACAGGCACCCTCTGTCTGACATTTCCCTCCTTCCTAAGACTATTTGTAAGAAGGTGATTTATTGATCACATTTCCCCCACTGTCGTTCTCGGCTTCTGTAGTGGAGTTGGAATGAATGCCAACACTTTTCCAAGTTTCTGCCTTCATTATTAGCAGCCTACAACACTGGACTGCAATCTATTAATTCCAGACTTTTTCACTTTGCAATAAGCTTCTTCTGTTCATTTTTAGCTTAAATCTTATGTTATTAAGATTTGGGTTTTAAGCAAACTTCTTTTTAGGGTGGATTTTTTCCAGCTTTGGTTAGTAAAGCAAGACAGCGTCTAGCCATAGTCACTCTGGTTTAACCATTGCAGTCGTGCAAGACAGGGCTCTCTCCAGCCCGGGGCTACTGACAGCCCTGATCCTTGGATGATGGTTTTTCAGCAGAGCGATCCTTCACAATACAGTAGCTCAAGTAGGGTGTAGTTTTAAAGGACTGGAAATATATTGATGTGTCAAGGTTAAGTCACTGTATGTCAGCCAGACCAGCCCATTTTACACAAGCAGATGAAATTCTGAAGCTTCGTTCATGCTGGTTAGCCACAGCTGCAGCTTCATTTATGACCTAATCCTCCCAAAAGGATTCGCTGTGGAAGACAATAGACTGCTTGAAGTTACCAATTTGCTCTGTGGAGTTTGCAGAAACTCTTTCTCAAACTCAAAAGGAAGAGTTAAGTAAGTGGCCAGGGGACCCCCTAGAGTCTGGAGAAGGAAGCATAATGTAATGAAGTTGATCTACTGTACTAGTCCAGCCCAATCTATGCAAATAAAACTTAAAAAAAAAAAAAAAAAAAAAAAAAAAAAGAGAGAAGTGGAAAAAAAGTATCCTTTCAGATAGCCAGTGTTTCAGATACTCAGTGGTTTTTGCTTATTTGTAAGAAGATGAAATAAGATGCAATAAAAGGGTTCTGATCTTCTACTAACTGCTTTTCTCCAGAAGTAATTTCTTCCAGTGTGACTGAAACATTACAGGGTTCAAATTCTCACAGCAAGTAAGTACAGTAAGTGACTTATCTCTGTCTGTGGGATCCAAATGAAATTCATCCTGCTTTTCAGAGGGGTTCTAAGTTCCCACCAAGCAAAACGCTTCCAGAAGTAAGTCCCTTTTAGCTAGATTCCTGAATATCAGTCTGGGTCCCAGGCTGCCAAATTCAATCCCCCAGAACGAGGTCTTATTGCCAAAATAAGCAACTTGATGTTAAACCAGATTTTCAAATGCAACAAGCCAGTGCCCCCTACTGTCCAAATATTCCTACTAGCAGGTAAGGTTTACTTTAAAAGGACTTGTAACCATTATTCTTCTCTTTAATTTCTGTCTTCTTACAGTCCCTTTTAAAAGAATCTGGTGCTACATTTTCAGAATAGGTCTTGATTTTATATTCAGCAGAAGACATGTGCCTTTCTTAATTCACTCTACCAAATCTGGCCGTGTTTCTTATCTGTTTAATGTTGTTTAGTGTTGAAATCCTTTTAATTATTCAGATAGTCCCTGTGAGACAGAACAGTAAAATTTTGTAGCATAGAAAAAAGATGCTGGCTCGACAGTAAAGAGTTGAAGATTAAATAAATGCCAGGAACTACTTTAAAAAAAAAACTTTTCCTTCTTTGACAGGACCTCAGAATGGCTGTGGTGGTTATTTGACAAATTCAGCTTATAGCTTTGCCTCTCCGGTCTCCAATGTAACTAGAAGATATGAGAGAAATCTGGACTGTGTATGGATCATAACTGTGCCTGTAAACCAAATTGTCAACCTCACCTTCACGTCATTTGTGCTTGAAGCGCAGTCTTCTCGGTCTTGCCGATATGATTATGTCAAAGTAAGATAGCTGTGTATTTTAATAAGAAAATATCAGTGAGATAAAATGCATTAGCCTCTCCATGAGGCTAAAACTTAATTAATAGAAAATGGCCTTATGAAGAAATGAAATTGCTTAATATAATTTGTTGTTGGTTTAGATTACTACTCCAGATGCCATCCTGCCTTTTTGGAAACCAATGAGTTTTAACATTGTTATGAGGGACGCTTCTGGTCTTAGACTGGCTATATAAATGAGTATTTATTTGACAGAATAGAAACAAAACAAAACTCTAGCACTTTGAAAGTAAACTTGCAGATTTGTTACCATACACAATTGCTTGAAAGCACTTTAATTTATAACATTGAATAAATAAATGTTGTTGCTCAGTGCTTATCTGTGAAAGCTATTTTCTTAGAGATGAGCATACAAAACATAGGATAGCAGAATGCTGCTGAACAGGACACACCAAAGAGTGTTACAGATCCTGTTGAACATGAGAGATGCTCAGTGAGACCAGGAATTGATTCTACATTTTGGTGAATAAAATCAACCTTTCTAACTGAAAAGAGCTTTGAAATTACATATAAAAAAAGAAATCAAAATGCCAAATTAAAATAGAATTAATTTCTTATAGATTTGCTGAGATGGGACCAGAATGTTCCACAATGAGATTTACACTTTCTAACAGAATTAGTTAATGTGGCAGTGAATAATTACAGTCATCTTGAACATCGTATTAAAGAACAAGAGCACCTACTGTGCTTTCAAATAAAAGAAATTGTCATGTCAGGAGAAGTCAGAGAATTAGATTTCTATTTATTAGTTCATTATACCTAAACTGTTAGTGGCTTATATACTTTTCTTCTTTCAGCTTTATGATGGAGGTAATGAAAATGCAAAGCTAGTTGGCATATTCTGTGGATCTGCAGTACCAGCTCCTTTTCTTTCTACTCGTAATTCCTTGACTGTGAAATTTGTCACAGACAATTCTGTGCAGAGAGAGGGTTTCAGTGCAACCTACACCAGTGTGGATCGTAAGTATAAGTATCATAGATGCTAGAATCATAGAATGGTTTGGGTTGGAAAGGACCTTAAAGATCATCTCATTTTAAGACCCCTGCCATGGGCAAGGACACCTTCCAGTAGATCAGGTTGCTCAAAGCTTTATACAACAGGGCCTTCCAGGGATGGAGCACCTAAAACTTCTTCAGGGAACCTGTTCCAGCACCTCACCACCCTCACAGTAATTAATTTCTTCCTAATACATAATCTAAATCTAGCCTCTTTTAATTTAAAACCATTACCCCTCATCCTATCACTACACTCCATGATATACAATCCCTTTCCAGGTTTCGTGTAGGCCTCCTTTAAGTAGTGAAAGGCTACTACCAGGTCTCCTCAGAGCCTTCCCTTCTCCAGGCTGAACAACCTTAACTCTCTCAACCTGAAGAGGTGTTCCAGTCCTCTGATCATCTTTGTGGCCCTCCTGTGGACCTGCTCCAACAGGTCCATGTCCTTTTTGTGATGCTCCAGAGCTGGACACAATGATCCAAGTAGGGTCTCATGAGAGTGAAGTAGAGGAGGAGAATCACTTTCCTTGACCTGCTGGCCATGCTTCTTTTGATGCAGCCCAGAATGCAATTGGCTTTTTGGGCTGCGAGTGCACATTCACTTTTTCATCCCCCCAACACCCCCAAGTCCTTCCCTGCAGGGCTGCTCTCAATCCACTCATTGCCCAGCCTGTATTTGTGCTTGGGATTGCCCTGACCCAGGCACAGGACCTTGCGTTTGGCCTTGTTGAACTTCATGAGGTTCACATGGGCCCACCTCTCAAGCCTATCACGGTCCCTCTGGATGGCATCCCTTCCCTCCAGCATGTTGACCATACAACACAGCTTGGTGCCACCCAAAAACTTGCTGTGGGTCCACTCAATTCCACTGCTGCCAACAAAGATCTTAACCAGCACTGGTCCCCTGAGGCATACACTCATCACTGGTCTCCACTGTATACAGTCTCAAATATAAATGTATGGATATATATAGCTGTGACTCATTTGTGGAAATACATATTTAAATAATAAATCATCAACATTTGTTCTAGATACAGGGCTCAGAAGGAGCAAAGACAGTCCTTAGCATGGCATCCGTAAGCAAGCTGAAAGCAGCACTGCTAGACCCTAGTGCACTTCTCTTCAGTCATGGCTAATTGCAGAGTAGCTGTCAGTCTGCAGTGCAAAACAGGAACACTCACAGTTTCTTAACAACCACGCTGATATTCTAGGGAACAAACATTATTTGAGTTTTATAACATACATTGACACAGCATTAGTGTGTGTATTACTTTTTATTATTATTATTCTAGAGATTCACCATTAAATATAAAAATATATTGTCCAGTATAGTTTTGGCCAGTAAATATTTTTCCCCAGTTGGAAAGGTTTTCATTCTATGATGCATTCCTTACTGTCTTGCACAGGACTGTGTGGAGGAATATATAATGCAACTTCTACACCCCTGACTGCATCGTCTCCCAACTTCCCAAATGAATATCCACCATTTACTCTCTGTACTTGGGTCATTGATGCCCCTCCGCAACAGCAAGTCAGGGTGGTGGTAGAGGCCTTCCACCTCCATTCCAGCCAGGATTGCTCTCAGAACTACCTAGAGCTCCAGGATTCACCAACAGTAAGAAACATACAGTTGATACCATTCCTTATTCACATTCAGCTCCCTTCACTCTTGGTTAAGAGAAGAGAAACCCACCATTTGGTAATAGATTAGTTGAGGATTCTGTGTGAGGAGGTCATCCAAAGTATTATGCACTGTGTCCCACTTTAAGGAGTGTTAACTGCTACACAGACCTCATGGAAGCACACTATACATACGTTGAATAAGTAAGTATTACACAGTTTTTCACAGCTGCACCAAGTAACGGAGCTGCCAGACATAACACCCAGAAAATACTGCCCAACAGCAAGTTTTCATATTTGTTCATAGTTTTCAACTGTACTTCCTCCCATCCAAGAAGCATAACAAAAATGAATATTCATGCCAAGACAAGTGTTTGTAAAAAGCACCAGGAAAAAAATATGCTTATGTTCCTTGTATTGTATTATTCTAAAGCTTCTTTCATTGTTTCTTATCTTGTCGTGAAAATACCTGTCACATTTGATATGTTTATCCTAATAATTGAGCATAAAATGTTGAGACATTATTAAATGATTTCATGAGAACTTTAAAATGTGATTGGATAACTAGTATAGAAAGTATTGAGAGATTTATTTACCTCAATTTCGATATGTAGAAAACCAAACTGTGTCATTAAGTAACTTGTGATGTGTACTGAATTCCAGGACAGCCAAGGATCAGTCCATAGATTCTGTGGCACTGAAACTTTTCCAGTCCCTGAATTTTATTCTTATGATCGCACTGTCATCATGACTTTCAAATCAGATGAATATATGATTAATAATGGCGTGAGATTTACCTATCAAGCTGTAGGTAAGCTTGAAGAAATGTCTAAAAAATCTACCTACTATTTTTTTTTTTGTTTATTCCATACCGTGAAAAGCAATACAGAGATCTAAAATACATATTTCTGGTTTTCTGTCTCAAGGTTGCAGCAGAGAGTATAACCAGCCTTTTGGTTACCTGAAGAGCCCTGGCTGGCCTAGTCGTCACCACAATAATATGGACTGTTCTATCATTCTACGAGCTCCTCTGAATCACACAATTTCTCTCTTTTTCCATGCTTTCAGTTTGGAGGACAGCATCCAGTGTTCACGTGATTTCTTAGAGGTATCAAGCAAGTATACATACATTGTGGGCCTGTGTCAAAATCTGTTGAATTCAAAGGTTATTAATAGTCTTGGATCAAGTTTAAGCTGAACTGACATTAGGAACTAATTTATTTCTGCAGATTTATGGTGAAAGGTATTCGATGTTATAGTAAGAGGTTAAACAATATACGCTATGGTAAGTCCAAAACCAATGAATAAATAGTTTCATTATCAGCTAACTCATCTTTAGCTAGCTTTTGTTGATGTCACCCAGTCAACAGAGCAAACTGGGATAGTTTTCTTCCAATATTAATGTCTGTGCAGGAACTGAAAGCCATAAACCTGAGTGCTTTTTTTTCCAGCGGTAGATTCCACCTGCTTGATATTTCTCTTAAAAAGAATTTTTTTTTTTTTTAAAAATAAAGGTACTTTGTGTCAATAAAAAGCATATCCTCCTACACTTGTAGAAGTTTTCCTGTTCAGTGGTCAGAGGACAAAAATCAGATATCTGTGGCAGAATCATTATTTAGTTCTCCTTTCATATCCTCTTTATTGTCTCATGAAATGGATTTGAGCACCAACATTACTGGAGCTCAGAAAAAATGTTAGATTAAATCTGAGCTATGTAATATGATCTGTGTCTTAATGTGACCAGGGAAAAGAGTTGTCTGCAAGGTAAGGAATTAATCTTTTCATGTGGAATATTAACATTTATGAAAAGTAAAATGTGGACTTGAATTGCAAAAGCACATCCTACCTATTAGTCGAGCAATTTTTTCAATCAGGAGATGTACCACATCATAAAATTTAGCTACCATCTTTCTGATGACACTTGTTCTGTACAATACTCAGACAGACTAGTTAGTCATCTCTTTTTCCTTCTATACAAGAATATATAGTAGGAAAAATAACAGTATTAAAATTACAGTTATGGTATGCATGCAAGCCACTACATAGTTTGTGCTGTACTTCTATCACTGCGTACTTATTCTGATGTAAAACTGGCATAGAGAGTTAATGTTGACAGTATTTTTTGTGTCCCCTGAAGGTCAGAAATGGGAGTGATGTGCAATCACCACTGCTTGGCAGGTTCTGTGGAAACACTGTGCCTAGTCCTATCTTTCCCCAAAACCATGTTGTCTTCCTTCGTTTCAAGAGTGATTTTTCAGGAGCTCATGATGGATATGAAATTACTTGGACTTCATCATCAAGTGGTAAGGCTGTAATGATAAAATAATTCCACTTAGCAATTGTACATACAGGGAAATTACAGAAATGTGGAATTTAGCCTGGTCGGGTTGGGCCCTGCCTTATTAACACTTTAGACCTTCTCAAGCACCCATAGTCCACCCTATTCATTCACTGGAAAGAGGTAGTTGTTTCTCAAAACCAATGGGGTGAGATCCATTTTACATGATGGAAGCAATTCCCTCTCTCTAATGTTGACTTTAGCAACCTCAGAGGATGTTGTCCACTTATGATGATCTACCTCTTTCACTAAGAGATCAGAAAATATCAGGAACATCTGTCTTGGGATCCACAGAGTGGTGGTGACTCACCCTACTCCATTAGTAGTCCAGTTGTGATATGCCCTAGGATCTAGGCACTGCTGAGCCTGAAGAGGACTGAAATTTGCCCCAAGAAAATAACCTAACTACAGTGCTGTGTAGTAACTATATCATAGACACGTTAATAAATGGCTTAAATGGCTTATGAAATGGCAGTGAATAGCTGAGTAATAGTTTGATCATGACACTAAGTTACTAGATGTAGGAAAGCTCTCAGCCGGTTGAAAAGCACTACAGAAAAGCCTTACAGTATTGAGCAATTTGGTGATAAAAAGGCAGAAAAAGTTCAGTGCGGGAAAGTGTTGATGAAGAACATGGGCAAGAAAAGGACAATCCTAACTTTACAAAAATAGGAGCTGTGCATTGACTTTTAGTACTCAGCAACAAGATCTTGGGGATAAAATAGTTCCATGAAAACAAGAGGTCACTGCTCACTTATAGCATAATGCTAGGAATCGTTGGGAGAGGAGGAGAGAACAAGTAGACAGCTGCTGTATAAGTCCACAGTTCACACACAAATGGATGCACACAGTTCTGGTCTCCTCCTGATATAAAAAATCTAGTAAAAGTAAGGGCTCAATGTAAAAAAAAAAATGGCTCCTGTAGGAGGTATGCTAAGACTTTTTAATTTGTTTAAGAGACTACTGAGGTCTATAAAATTGAGTGATATTGGATGAAAAATAATAATAGACTTTTCTCATAGAAGAACTAGAGGCCATCAGATAAAGCCAGGTGGTAGGTTCAAAATAATCCAAATGTCTTCCCACAGTAGGCAGCACAGGAGCTGTGGAGCTCCTTCCCATAGGATGCTACAAGTTTACATGGATTTGAGGGCTACCTGAACAAGTTCATGGAAAACATCTGCTAGAGACTGTTAAATACAAAGATACCAACTCTGGGAGCTGTGAACTGAAAATTCTTGGAGTCTCTGAGAGTAATCTGGGGCATGATCTGCACATGCTTACTATTACTTTATAACCTTGCATTTCTCCCAGGGAATCTCCTTCTGCCCACTGTTGGAGACTGAATTTTTATACAAATGACCTTTAGTTTACTTAATATGACTATATTCTTAGTTGTTCTGTGCATTTTTCTATTAGATGAGGATTCACTACTTTTCCTTCCAAAGAACAGCCAAAGACAATTTGTCTCTAGCTGAGTAGTTGGGAACTGAATTGATCACAGGACAGACTTAAGACTGGTTCCTGTTTCAAATAGTTTGGAGGGGTTTGATTTTTAATATCCAGTGATGGTCTAGTGCCCATTGAATCTTCTTCTCAGGCTGCTGAAGCTAGAGCCTCCCTTTTGTCTCTGGTTGGAATAATGATCTTATTTGCATTCACTGTTCCAGCTCCCAGCATCTCTCTGGTTTTCAGTGCTACTACTAATGCTGCACTGATGTGCTACATCGTGTAGCACCTTGTGCAACTCAGCCTTCTAGGCTAATGAGCAGCGTCTGTTCCCAGGTTGCGGAGGAACACTGTATGGCAGCACCGGCTCGTTTGCTAGTCCCAGCTACCCAGCAACCTACCACAACAACACGCATTGTGAGTGGGCCATTACTGTGCCCAGGGGACAAATTGTCACAGTGAACTTTGATTTCATCAGCATTGATGACCCAGGGGATTGCAGCAGCAACTATCTGATCCTTTACGACGGGCCAGATGCCAGCTCTCCCCCGGCCGGGCCATACTGTGGCATGGTATGTATTGCCTACTGTCTGCGACCCTGGAAGTCATTAAAGTGAATCTTTGCTCTTTCATATTCAAGACTATTTCCCCAGTTCTGGTATGAATTCCACGTAGATGAATGGAAGTGAAAGCGGAAGGCACTTGTGGCACCTTAGGAGCTTTCCAATGCAGACCTTACAGTGACATCTAGTGGGAGGCATCAAGCTATTTTACTCTGTATTTGTACTTGTGATTTAAATATTTGTAATACCCCGTGGGAGAAATGCAATAGCAGTATCTAGCACAGACCTGAAGTCACTTCCAATTTACTATCAAATTTGTGCCTCGGTTTAAACTCTCTGACTGGCTTTTCCAAAGGATCTTGGTGTTCTATAAAGCTTTTCATTTTTCTTGTGTTTAATTTTAGGATACAAACATCGCTCCATTTACTGCCACATCTCATCAAGCCTATATAAAATTTCATGCTGAATATGTGACTTTACCATCAGGATTCCAGTTAAGCTGGATGAGCTAGAACACTGTTTATGAGAAATATATCACAATTCCTTGCTATAGTGAAGAGACTTTAGCTCATAAAGTAATTTTGAAATCCAGTTATGATAACTGCAGCTGAATTAAAGCTTTTTAAGAGTTATTGTACCTGTTGATGTTACAAATTTAGAGTTTTGTGAAAAAAAAAGTGATCTCCCATTGTATTGAAAATAAACTATTATCTACCCACCTGGAATATAAGTTTTTGCTATGTTTTGAAACATTTTCATATTCTTCTACATAAATTCAAGCTTACATCTAGTACTATAAAAAGTGAACTAGGCAGGACAGAACTTGA